GGTGAAAAGGTGTGACCCAGATGCCACCAGCAGTTTGGGCTCCTTAAGCCAGAGGTGTGAAGGGAAACCAGGAGAGGAGGTCGGGATTCCCCCCTGGCCTCTGCCACTTTCCAGGGGTATCCAGCTGGGAGGATTTCCTGGGGAAAGGCTGGGGTGGGTGGGGCACCTCAGGCAGGCTGAGCGATGCCCACGTTGTCAGCAGGGAGGTGTGGCTGGCTCCTGGAACTCTCGAGGCTTCAGGGGCTGCAGGGGCTGCAGACGCTGTCTGCTCACCAGAGAAACACGCGTTCCCTGAGCATCTGCTCGGAGGCCTCTGCTTGAGGAGCTGGCGATGGAGATGTTAGAATGAAGAGCGAGAAAGAGTAGCAGTTAATATCCACCAACAGCTCAGGGCCTGGCTCCCGACCCCCACTGCACCCCGAGGTGGGAGCGCTTACTACCCCCTCATGCTTGCAGGGGAGGGCCTCCGGGAGGAGGCGCACAGTCGGTGCTGTGCTGGAAGCAGGAGTGGGCTGAGCCTCAGGGCCAGGACACGCAGCATCTCACCCACCCAACACCCCTCCCCAGGGCACCTCTCCTCCGAGGGTCAGATCCCAAGCTCACAGAACAGGCAAGAAGGGCCTCAGAGCACCCCCAGAGCAGTGAGTGCCTGCTTTCCCGGGACACAGACCTCTCTAGCTCAGAGCCCTTTCACGTGGGGGCCAGCTTCTCGCCAAGCCAAGGCCCGGAGGCCCCAGCCCCTGGAGCACACAGGCGGCCGTGGGCCATCCACAGGCTGCGGGGAGCCAGGCAGGTGCTCTCTTAAGAGGCAGCTGCACCCATTCCACGCCGCCCTGCAGACCTTCGTTCCATAGAGTTGGGGATCCCAGTGCACAGATCATGTCGTGTTCTGATGCGTGAATTTCAGGTTCTCATTCAACATTAGACGGCCACGCACAGTTCCCACGCTGCTGGCTGGTGTCCCCGTTACCGGCTGCAGAACCTCTCAAGGTCTGGCCCTCTCCTAAGGCGCTAAGCCTGCAGCAGGGTGTCCGGGTTGTTTTCTGACTTGTGGCTGCCAGAAACAGTCCTCCAGGATCCAGCCTTTGCAGTTCACTTGTTCTTTACGAAGCCATCTGTCTGGTGTTGTGTGGAAAGGTTTGGTTCTCAGCAGAGGGAGGTGTCGTTTGTTCATGGAGTCTCAAAGAGAGCAGGGAGGGGGCCGGGGGTGGGGGGGACAGACACCAAATTCTGAGTTCAAATCCCAGCTCGGCCACTTTCTAGGTATGCAGGTTTGGACATGTGACATGACTTCTCAGTTTCCTCGTTTGTAAAACGGCACCGTGATCCTTTGCCCAACAGTCCCTCAGCTCACTGCCCTCCATGCCCAGCTCTAGGGCACTGCACGGAGGGGCCCTGGCACTGGCATCCTGAAGACCCGGCTGTGCGCCTGCTGGAAGGTGACTTCCAGGAATCCTCTTGGATTGTTTAAGGAACAGGGCAAGAATCCAGCTGAGAGGAGCTGAGTTCACGTGGTCACCTCAAGTGTTTCCTTTCCTCTTCCCCCTTTAAAAACGATTCCATAGTGTGGTTTAACTTTTATTCTTATCTGTTCTATATCCACACAGTTTAAAGAACTACCCTCCCCTTCCTGCTCACCAGAAGTACACCTTCATTCTGAATCCTGGCGTTTACCCCATGGGGATCCCTGGAGGTCTGCGTGGCCTCCTGCCAGGCCCGCCCAGGCCACACCCCACACCTTCCACCCCACGTCCCTCCCGTAGTCCACGGTAAAACTGGGTTCAATCAGTGGCAGTTCCGCATGCTAACGGCCACACTACGGATGTTGATGTTCTAGCGGTTTGTAAATGCTACGGGAAACTGAGCCTCCTAGAGAAGCATGATCACATACGTGGCCCTCGCTGGGAAACATTCTCCTGTGTTCCCAGCATTTAGTCCCTGCCTTATTTTTTCTTGATTAGTTTTCTAAGTATTTGTCACCTATCCCTAACTCTGCTTCCACCTGTCAACTCTCCTCTCAACATGGTAAACACACAGGACTCTCTGACCACTGTCTTCCCGGGGGTGGCCTGCCCCTGCCTGCCAGGCCAGGATTCCCAGGAGTCATAGGAAACAAGGCTGGAGGGGAAGAGGGCTGGGGCTCGGGGGCCTGGTGGCCACAGCCAGGGCTTCGGCAGGGCCCCCAGTGGGTTCTGAGCAGGGTCCAACTCAGCTTTGATGGGGTGGCCCCAGCCGCTGTACTGGGCCTCTTAGGAATCCAGGCGAGAACAAGGCCCTTCTGGTCTGGGTGGTCACAGCAGAGCTGGCGGGACAGTCAGCTTCTGTGAGAATTTGCAGAAGTCAGTAGGACTGGAGCTGGGATGGGAGGAAGGAGGGAGCCATCGACTGACCCCAGGATGGAGGATGAGGGGTGAAGTGGGAGGGTGGGGTGCTGCTACGGGACAGACCTGAGCTTCTGTGGGGCCACACTGGGTCTGATGTCTCTTGGGTGTTCCAGTGAGGTGCCAGGTGGGGCTCTGGACCATCCCTGTCCCTGAGTTCTGAACTGTGTCCACTGTGGTCTGCGTGGTAGGTGTGGCCACTTTCATTCTCTGTGCTCGGTGCTCTGTGGCCCCTCGTTCCTGCTAACGTCATGAGTTTACCCACAGCTGCTTCCCTCGGTTTCCTCTGCTCTCCTGCCTGAAACCACCACATTTCGCACACCGGACGCCTGCCCCAGCCTGCTGACTTTTTTCTCTTTCTTCTCCTGTTTTTCATCTCTTGGTCTTTCTGTTCTTTTTCTGGGAGACGTCCTTTAGCCCCTCCCTTAGGGTTTTTACCCAGGCTGCTGTATTCCGACCCTCCCGGCACCCTTTTGTGTTACTGGGATGCTCTTTCTCAGGGCGGCTGGTCCCGGACTCATGGGAGCTGTCGCATCCCTTGTTACCCTGGATGGTGTTGACTGGGTCGTTGGGAGTCTCTTCCCTCTGCACAGCCTGGCTGCCTGCGGCTGTTCTGCTGGTTGTTTCAGACTACACCTCTCCGGCTAGAGGCTGTCCTCCAACGTCTGGTCATTCCTGACTGCTCCTGCTGCCCACCTGCCGCTAGGATGCTACCTGAGCCAAGGCACAATGGGACCCCTGCTTACTGGGGGACTGGCCATTTCTCGGAGACTGCACCCTCCCCCCATGGCCACCTTCGCAGAGCTGTGGCCAAGGACTGCAGGAGCTGTCACCCTGACCCATGTCCTGTCTCCAGGTGTGTGACCCCGACTGAGTTCTTCAACTTCCCAGGAAACCAGAAATGGCTGCAGGGACAGAAATTTGCTCACACACGTCCTGGGGCCGAAGGTGGCATAATCCCAATGTGAGACGCCCTCCTCAACTCTTCCTCCTGCCCTTCCCCTCCTGAGTCCCCTGGCTGGAAACACCATTCAGCCTGCTGAACTCTGAAAGGAGACAGAACTCTGACCCCAGATCAAGCCTGTCCCAGTGGCAGAGGCCTGGACTCTCCTTTTCTGTGTAATACCTAGCAGGGTGGCAAGCAGGGCACTAGAAGTTCAGGTATTCCCCTCATGCTCTTCTTCTTAATGTCCCCCAGATCCAGCTCCATCCTACCAGGAAAACCAGCCTCAGGCCCCTGAAGTGCCCTTTCCCGAGCTTCCCAAGGACACAGCTGCTGTCATAACAATCATCAGCAGAAAGGAAGAGGGCCTGGAAAATAATACACTTACAACAGAACGCGTGCAAGACTCTGCTGATATTTACTTATTTATTTAAAGACAGTCTTGCTCTGTCCCCCAGGCTGGAGTGCAATGGCGCAATCTCGCTCACTGCAACCTCCACCTCCTGGGTTCAAGCGATTCTCCTGCCTCAGCCTCCTGAGTAGCTGGAATCATAGGCACCCACCACCGCACCAGGCTAATTTTTGTGTTTTTAGGGGAGACGGGGTTTCGCCGTTGGTCAGGCTGGTCTTGAATCCTGACCTCAGATGACACGCTTGCCTCAGCCTCCCAGTGTTGGGATTACAGGTGTGAGCCACCGCGCCCAGCCGATAATTTGTACTACTATTTACCAGTACGTGTCTTTGTGTTATCTGTATTTATTTTAGGGGGGAAAAATCCCCTACATTTCAGCCAACTGGACTTCGTGTCTGGCTTTAAATGTTTTCCGCCACTGTCCACCCAGCAAACAGTCTAGCTTCATATCCGTATCCTTGTTCCCAAGTTCCTTCCAGAAGAGATTCTCAGACAGGGTCCGTTTGTTGTCGTTTTTGAGGCGGAGTCTTGCTCTGTTGCCTAGGCTGGAGTGCAATGGCACGATCTCAGCTCACTGCAACCTCTGCCTCCCGGGTTCAAGCGATTCTCTTGCTTCAGCCTCCCGAGTCGCTGGGATTACAGGCGCCCGCCACCGCCTGGCAATTTTATTTATTTATTTTTGGTATTTTTAGTAGAGACGGGGTTTCACCATGTTGGTCAGGCTGGTCTCGAACCCGTGACTTCGTGATCCGCCGCCTGGGCCTCCCACAGTGCTGGGATCACAGGCGGGAGCCGCCGCGCCCGGCCGAACGCCGCCCTTTTAATATCACCGAGGAGAAGCGAACCTTGGGGCCGGCCTGTAACCCAGCTACTCCGGAGGCTGAGGCCGGAGAATCGCGAAACCCGGGCGGCGGAGGCGGCAGCGAGCCCAGGTGGCGCCATTGCAGCCCGGCCCGGGCGGCAGAGCGAGGCTCCCCCTCGGCAAATAAACAGCATCAGCCCGGAGCTCCCACCCGGCCCAAACCCCAGGGAGCCCCCTCCGGGAGGAGAGGGCGAGGCCCAGCAAGCCGCGTTCGGAGCGGTCCCGCGCGCCGTTCGGATCGGGACAGCCCCGGGGCAGCGTCCGGGGACCACGATGCCTGCCGCGGCCACGGCTGCGAGACGCCCGCAGCCCCGACCCAGCCGTGATGGGACAGGCGGGACCGGAGAGGGAACGCGCGCGCCCGGAACCCGCCACCGCGGCGCCGCGCCGGGTGGGGGCGCGCTTGGGCAACGGACGCGCCGCGCCGGGGAAGCCGTTGGGCGCCGGAAGCGGTTCCGGTCCGACCCCGGCGCGCGTGCGGCGGTGGAGAGGAAGCGCTCGGGCGAGGCAGGTCCCGCACCCCAGCCGCGCGGCCGTCCCGTAGGTGAGGGCGGCAGAGCCCACGGGGCCGCGGCGGGCCGGCGGGGCGCGGAGCTCTCGGGGGCGCGGCACCCGCGCCCGTCCCCGGCCGCCGCTGGGCTGGAACTGTGGCGCGGCCGCTTCCCGGCGCTCCGCCTGGGGCCGGGCGTCGGGCTTCCGGGGCCCCCGAGCCTCTGGCGTCCCGTGGGGAGCGGGGGACGGGGGAGAAGCTGTGCGGACGCCGGGCCCGGTAAGACCGTCGAGCCGGCAGGGTCCGTGTTCAGGCGTCCTCAGAGCGAGTCGTGTCGGGCCGGGTCCAGAATAGATTCGCTTCCGCTTCTCCTTGGGCCTGCGGAATTCGCCCTCGCGGTCCTCCCCGCCTGCGTGGTCGCTGCGTGCACCCGGTCGCGCGGGGGGCTCGGGTTCAGGGCAGACCCAGCTCCTGAGCAGACGGCGGCCACGTGCGCGGGGAGTGTTGAGAAGGCGCAGCCGGCCGCCAGTTCCCTCCAGAAGGGAAGGCTTCAAAAGGGCGAGGCCCGCTGCAGCGGGGAGTTGCTGTTGCCGTCCTGAGTCCAAATTCCACGGCGCAGGCCGGGTGCAGTGGCTCGTGTCGGGAGGCCCAGTATTTTGGGCGGGAGAGGCAGGAGGATCACTTCTGGTCAGGAGTTCAAGGCCAGCCTGGGCAGCATAGGGAGAACCTTGTCTCTCCAAAAAAATGCAAAAATTAGCTGGATGTGGTGGCGTACTCCTGCAGTTCCAGCTATTCAGGAGGCCAAGGCGGGAGGAGCGCTTGAGCCCAGGAATCCGAGGCTGCCATGGCCCTTGACAGCACCATTGCACTCTAGCCTGGGCGGCAGAGCAAGACACTGTCTCAATAAATAAATAAAATTGAAAAATAAGAGGTGTCATTTGAACTAGGTTTGGAAAAATGATTAGGAATTTGCCGAAAAGGGAACGATTTTAGGGTTGGGAACACAGATTGTGTTTGGGGCGTCATGTTGCTTTCTCAGCCTGGGAGAGGTTTACATGCTGGGCCCAGGAGCACAGGTGTCTGGCGGTGGACCATGGGCACCCCGGAGCTTTATAGCAAAGGAGTGACCTGATCGTATCGTGACGCGTGGCCCCGGCTAGTGCTCCTTCCGCAGGTGTTGGGGACGTAAGATGTGGCTTCCCTTGCTCTGGCCCCTTTGGCTGTGAACCTTCTCAAGGCAGACAGAAACAGTGAATGAAACTGTGTGTTTGGGATAGCTGTAAGTGCCACCTTTCCAGATGGCATTTTAAAAATAGTATTTTTCTTCCTAAAATGTATATGGGTTTCAAGTATGTTTTTCCCTGTTGGTTTTCTTGATTTGAGTGCACTGCTCATGAATGCAATGTGAATGTCTGTTACTTAAAAGTGTAATTTTGAAAACAGCCCCCCAAACCACAGGTGTCATGCTGAAATGCACCCCGCCCCACCGGCCCAGCACAGCCCTTTTCTGCCCTATAGCCCCGTCAGGGCAGTAGACAGGAGGAAGTGCTGGCGTCCACTTCAAACACAAGGTCTGGAAGGGATGGGTGGGTCAGGTGTGGGGGTGAACAGGTCAGGTGTCATTTTACTCATTTTGAAACAGCCCCTTCATTTGAATGCCAGTGTCGTTCTGATCAAGGGATTTTTGTTGTGAGGCTCTGCGGGGAGCACGCAGCCCAGCATGGCGGCTGTTTGTTTTCTGCCTGGCCTGTGCTGGAGCGTTTGTTTATTCTCACGTGACCCTGTGAGGCAGGTCTAGTGATTGTCCCATCTTATTGGTGGAAAGCAAAGGGCTAGACCAGTGAGAAAATTGGGACAAAGGGAGCGGCCATTCAAGCTGAAGTCTGTGGCAACTCTAAGCTCTGCTGTGAGCCTGTACCCTACTCTGAGCTCTGGACCGGGAGGTGTTCAGGAAGACCATGCATGGCCATCTGCCCTGAGCAGAGTCTGCCTGCTTATTCAAGGCAGGGCTCTGATCCGATAACCTTGAGGATTCGACCTCTGTGCTGAAAAGAATTGTGGTTGAGTGCTCCATGGCCTCAAGCCTGAGGACCTTCAAAGCTGGCTTGATGGGGTTGTTTGCATCTCTCACATGCTTGGTGGAGAATAAATCAGCACCTCTTCGGAGGGGACTTTGTCAGTGTTTCTCAAAATTAAAGATGGCCCAGTAATGTCACTTCCCAGCATCTGTGCCCTAGACACCCTGAGTGAGCACAGCTGTGGGTGCCAGCACTCCCGTGCCCCCAGCAGATGCTGGCTCAGCGGCCCCTTCTCACCCTCCATAGGAAGCCTTCCCCCCACCCACTCCGTCCCTCCTGCCCATGGCCTCTCCTCATAGCACATGGGCTCTGTGGGAGCTGAGGCCATCTCACACAGGGCCAGTCGACTCTGTCACCTCCCAGGGGTGGGTGGCAGGAGTGCCCACCATGTGCAGGGCTCTGGACTCTGCCCAGGAGAGCAGCAGTTTCTGCTCAGCCTGCACTTCTGAGTTGGCCCAGCCAGGCTGCACATGCCAGCATCACCGGCTCCACCGAGCTCTGGATTTTGTAGGGAATCCGGTCTTACTCTTCCACGGCTTCGCGCTGCAGGATGACCCAGGAATTTGTAGAAATGCCGAAAGCGGGGCTGAGCCCTGGTAGTGTGTGCTGTGTGTGCTCAGTGTGTGTACAGCATGAGCCTGAAGTCGCTTTGTGAGAACTCGGTTCTTTGTGGTCTGCAGAAACCTCTTCTGAGCAGCAGCTTTGGTTAGAGGAAAGCCGTCCTCTACCCTTGCTGTCCTGCTGTCATGTTGAGGGACAGCTGCAGACAATGACAGGCACCGTCTGTTTCCACCGTGTCGCTGGAGCACCCTAGAAAGTCCCATGCCCTGCAGCATGCGCTCCAGACACGCCCTGTGGCTGCCAGCAGCAGGACTCCAGCCCAGAAACCCTCAGCCCCCACTCAGTTTCCATGTGGGGGTCCTTCGTGTCCCTGTGCCCCACACCTGTAACGCAGTGCAGAATTGGTTGGAAGTGAGGAGGAGGTGCGGTGGGGCCGCTCGCGTTTACTGCTTTCTGAAGCTGGCACAGCCCACATGCCAATCTTGTGTCTCGTCTCTGGTCAAGCTCCATTGTTTTCTTGCCGATCTCTGGGTTTCTCTATGGTAGCAGAGTCCAGAGGGGTGGGCGGACCAGCCATGGCCCTGACTCTAAGCAGCTGTGGAGGGCAGAGCGTGGTGTCCATGTCAGGAGGTGATGTGGGCTGCAGGGTTGACCGTCGGGTAGAATTCAGAGAATCCTTGCACAGGACATCCAGGCAGTCCCCGGAGCTGTGCTGAGTTCAGGGCCCTGTGGGGCTGCTTTTCCTCCTGCCTTGGTCAGAGGTAGGGGAATCCCTTTGCTGGCCGGGACAGGGGGCTTCACTAAGAGCCAGGCTAGCGGAGAAACCAGACACCCCAATCAAACACGCAAAAACCAAGGCCAGTAGTTGAGTGTCTGAAGCACGAAACATACTTTGGTTCTGACCGTTTTTGTTGTGGAGTTTGTTTTGTTAAACTGCAAAGTGTTGTGTATGGTTTCAAACTAAGAGCAGAAAACAACTTCAGTGCAAACCACAAGCAGCAACATGGTAACTTCCCCAGCAGGTTAATGAAGGAGATGTGCTGGAGAGCCTGCCGGGCATGGGACACAGATCCATGGTGACTTTCCCCAGCAGGTTAATGGAGATGTGTTGGGGAGCGCCTGCCGGGCATGGGGCACAGATCCCTCAGGGGGGCATGGCTGCTCGGGGAGTGCCTGTCGCAGAGAAGACAGGGTCGTGGGGCACTGCCGTCTGGAGACGAGGCTTGCTGCTTTCTCTTACAGTGTTGTCTTGAGTTTGGAAAGGAACATCTTTCCCCTCCCCATGGAGTGTTGAGTGTTATGCCTGCGGGAAGTGTGAGACACGGGGCCTGGGACCTCAGCTCAGATGCTCGCTGGCAAGTGTTCTCGCCGGCCTTCCAGGTTTCAGCGCCGGGCGCAGTGGCCGCCCCAGGAGGATGAGCAGTGTCGGTGCCTCCACCTCTGTGTGCCTCTGCGCCTGCCTAAGCAGCTGTGCCCGCTGCTCCTGTGAACTGGGAGCTCCCCTTGGCTTTTCTGTCTGGCTCAGGAGGGAGTGACCTTGAACTTGGCCTCCTTTGTTTTCCTGTGTGTGAGCAAGTGGTAGCCTTGTTTACTGAACACAGTGTTGAATGCAAAATTCTGAGATGAAACCTAACCTAATATGCATGTATTAAATGGAAACATCATTGTCAAAATCATGCTGTTCAGAGTCCCTGGGAACCAAGTGGGCGACGACTGTGCTTCAGCCCCAGTCCCAGGACGCTGTCAGACCGAGGGCTCCTGAGCACCCAGTGGGTGCCTCCCCCAGGCCCAGGACGCTGTCAGACCGAGGGCTCCTGAGTGCTGAGTGAGTGCCTCCCCCAGGCCCAGGGCGCTGTCATACCGAGGGCTTCTGAGTGCCCAGTGGGTGCCTCCCCCAGGCCCAGGACACTGTTAAACCAAGAGCTCCTGAGTGCTGAGTGGGTGCCTCCCCCAGGCCCAGGACACTGTCAGACCGAGGGCCCCTCAGCACGCAGTAGTAGCAGAGACGGGGTGCTTCCCCAGGAAGGGAGGCAGACCAGCCTCTTCTTACTTCAGAGGCTTAGGCAGGGACAGCGGGGGTCCTGAAGGAGATGTGAATTTAGGGGCTGAAACCAGGGGTGAGCGGCTGTTTGCCTCAGCAGGTGGTGTCAGCGCTGGGAAGGACACTGTCAGTTCTGTCTGTAAAGAGCCTGAGAAAGCTGACTGTCTCATGCCCTCGTGAGTAGAGCGAAGCTTCAATCATAAAGGCCAAGGAGGCAGGAGGCTCATGGACGGTGCCGCCCCATGGCCTCGCTCTGGGTTGTGGGGACTCTGCCCTTGACCTGTGTTCGTGTCCTGAGACCGTGTTCCAGGCGGTGTCCTCTGGTGGCAGGATGCCAGCCCCCATGTGTTACGAGCAGTGAGCCGACAGGTAGAGGCGCTATGGTCTGTTCTTGGTCTCTTTTCTCTGAACAAGGAATTGCAGCAGAAAGCGGGCCCGCCACGGCCCCTCCCAGGGCATTCTTGCTCCTTGAGGATTTATTTGTTATTTAGTACTAGTTAAGTTTTTGTGGGGAGAGGGGAGAATTATAGTTGAACCTAAAATACATTCTCTAGCCCTGTGAACTGCCTGATTTAAAGCTCGATTTGGCTAGGTGCAGTGGCTCACCCCTGTAATCCCAGCACTTTGGGAGGCTGAGGTGGATAGATCACCAGAGGTCAGGAGTTGGAGACGAGTCTGGTCAATGTGGCGGACCCCACCGTCTCTACCAACAGTACAAAAATTAGCCGGGCATGGTAGTGCTCACCTGTAATCCCAGCTATTTGGGAGGCTGAGGCAGGAGAATCACTTGAACCCAGGAGGCAGAAGTTGCAGTGAGCCGAGATGACACTATTACACTCTAAGCTATGTGACAGAGCAAGGCTCCGTCTCAGATAGATAGACAGATAGACAGAGCAGGTAAGATTCCATCTCAGATAGGAAAGTGGGGGGAGAGAGAGAGAGAGCGCGCGTGTGCGCATGGCTCACACCTGCTCACTGCAGCTCACTGCAATCCAGGACTTTGGGTCAGCCTGGGCAACACAGCTGACCTTGTCTCTACCAAAAAAAAAAAAAAAAAATGCTGAGTGTGGTGTCACGTGCCTGTGGTTCCAGCTACTCAGGAGGCTGAGGCTGGAGGATTGCTTGAGCCCAGGAAGTCAAGGCTGCAGTGAGCCATGATTTTGCCATTACACTCCAGTCTGAGTGACACACCAAGACCCCATATCCTAAAAATAAAAGAAACCAGCCTTGGCCACCTCACCACAGTTCCACTTCGCACCTGTGTGGGAGGTGCGTGAGAGAAGCGGGGTCTTGGTGTCCCGGCCACACCTGTTGTGGGGAGGGCCCAGGCAAGCTGTTCACACTTCCTCCTCTCACTTGGGGTTTTCCAGGCTCAGGATTCTAAAAACTGTCATTCAGATGTAACTTCAGGTATAGAACTTTCTATGCTTCTCCTTGGTTTTACCTAGTTTATTTCATTGTTTAGAATCTTGTGTGATGTGGGAATCCTTAAACTAATGAAGCTAGATAGAAGGCTGAGATGCTGGGCATGTGCATTCCAACGGCGTGGGCATGGGCGTGGACGGGGTATGAAGGCTGGACATGGTCCGGTGCGCTGCCTTGTGACGGACGGCAGGTGCAGCAGGCGTACCTGGCTGGGGCCTGGGGAGGTGTTTAAATCCTGCCTTGGCTGGGTCTAGATGGCCAGTTGGGCACTCACATGCTGTGCCTTGCCTTTCTCCAGGTCGCCCTTGGGACGCCTGTCAGGATGATGCCACGCCCTGTGAAGCTGACCTTCCGGCGCCTGGCCTGTGCCTTGGCCTCCTGCCGTCTGGCTCCTGCAGGACACAGAGGAAGTGGCCTTCTGCACACAGCCCCCGTGGCCCCCTCAGAGGGGACCACCCCGGTGTTCACCCGTGCCCTCGGCTCTGGGGACAGAACCGCCCTGGTTGACCAGCATGGCCACCACACGTACGCAGAGCTTTATTCCCGCAGCCTTGGCCTGTCCCGGGAGATCTGCAGGCTCCGTGGGTGTGTTGTGGGGGGCCTCCGCCAGGAGAGGGTCTCCTTCCTGTGTGCGAACGACGCCTCCTACGTCGTGGCACAGTGGGCCTCGTGGATGAGCGGCGGCGTGGCAGTCCCCCTCTACAGGAAGCACCCTGCGGCCCAGCTGGAGTATGTTATCTGCGACTCCCAGAGCTCGGTGGTCCTTGCCGGCCAGGAATATCTGGAGCTCCTGAGCCCGGTGGTCCGGAAACTAGGGGTCCCGCTGCTGCCTCTCACACCAGCAGTCTACAGTGGAGCGGTGGAGGAAGTGGCAGAGGGGCCAGTCCCGGAGCAGGGGTGGAGAGACCAGGGTGCCATGATCATCTACACCAGCGGGACCACAGGCAGGCCCAAGGGCGTGCTGAGCACACACTACAACCTCAGGGCTGTGGTGAGTGCCACCCCGCGCCTCCGTGGCACCCGTCACAGTGCAGTGCTCTGTGTGGACTCCAGGCCGGAAGCTCCTTCGCTTTTCTGTGGAGTCATTCATGGTTGTCACCATCCTGCAGACCTGTGTGAGGTGCCCAGACACGGCCCGCAGGGCGTGGCTGCCGGCCTCACTGGCTGTGCAGGATGCCTCTGGGAGTGACCAAGCACAAAGGGGCGGGCAGGGACGACACCTTCCGGTGTAGAGGGATTGAGGGGCTGCTACTGACCCCACCAGGACCATGTGCCATGAGGTCAGAGGAACCCCTCACTGCCTGTGATGCTGAGGGACTTTTCAGAGGCAGCCACGTGCTCAGATGCGTGGTGAGGACCCCACGTACACCCATGTCTCACTCATTTCTGTGTCCTGTGGTGGCCTCAGTCACATCTTCACGGAACTCTAGAGCCAGGTCACTTACCTGTCACTTGTATCCTGCTTTCTTCCAAAAGTACCCGTGTGTGTCATAAAGTCTCTCATGCAATTGAAGCAATTAAAGTAAAAATGAGAGCTCAGAACCACGACAGGGAGGGTAGGAAGTGGACCCTATGGAGTGGCTTGGCACAGGCACCATGAGCATGGAGGTGACGACAGTTCACGAATCAGCAGAGCTCTGCGTGGGCAGTGCTGTGGCTGAGCCAGTGGTTGGGCCGGGAGTCTAGATTCTAGTCTGAATGGCGCTGGGTCCCTGAGTCCCAGGCCTGTGCAGGGGCGGAGCTGGGGATGGCACTGCTGGGTCATGGCTCCATCTGCCTGGTGTTTGCAGAGCCACTGCACCACCTTCTAAATTCCCTAAAGCCTCTGGCTGGGTATGGCACTGTCCTCTGTCCCCAGAGTCAGCAAGTGACCCAGCAGATCTGTTGTGGCTTCTTCGTCATCTTGAGAGGGGAGCAGCAAAGAGCCAGGCTTCTTCCCCGTTCCTCAGCTGGGGACCCAGAGCTCCCATCCCTGAGCCCGGGTCTGTGTGCTCCTGCGGGCCACAGCCTCTCCCTTCCTCAGCTGGGGACCCAGAGCTCCCGTACCTTAGTCTGGGTCTGTGTGTGCTGTTGCGGGCCACAGCCTCCCCCTTCCTCAGCTGGGGACCCAGAGCTCCCGTCCCTGAGCCCGGGTGCTGCTGCGGGCCACAGTCTCGCTCCTGCTCTCAGCTGCGCTCTCATCCCCTGCAGGTGACTGGGCTGATCCACAAGTGGGCATGGACCAAAGACGACGTGATCCTCCACGTGCTCCCGCTGCACCACGTCCACGGTGTGGTCAATGCGCTGCTCTGCCCGCTCTGGGTGGGCGCCACCTGCGTGATGATGCCCGAGTTCAGCGCTCAGCAGGTGAGTTGGGTCACGGCTCCTGGCAGCGCCCTCAGAGCAGGTTCCTTTCCTGGTGTGCAGTAGTCCGTATCCACAGGGCACGTGCTACAAGACCGCAGATGCCAGGGCCTTGGGAAGCATGGAACCCTGTGCTTCCAAGGCTTTTTGCTATGCATGCGTACCTGTGATAAAACTTCGTTTCTAAGACACAGTAAGAGATGAACAGTTAATAACAGAAGTTATAACCATGTACTGTAGTCAGAGTTAGGTGGCAGCGTTCTTTCTCTTCGAAATACCTTCCGGTACCGTGCTCCCCTGTTTTCAGACTGCAGTGGGCCTCACGTCGCTGAGGCCATGAACAGAGACTAGGTGACCCGGGTGACTGCAGGTGCTGCTGGCCGGGGGTTCCTGGGCCGCCGCAAATGCTCACACACCTGGTTTAACACAGTGCGAGTTTGTTCTTAAGTGCTGGGAAGCCAGGAGTCTGAGCTGAGTCTTGCACAGCTGATGCTGCGTGTGGTGGGGCTGCTCTGTCAGGAGGCTCCAGGGCAGAGTCTGTTCCTGCCTCTTCCAGCTTCTGGAGCTGAGAGGCTTCCTGTCCCCCTGGCTCTAGCTGCTTCACGGCCAGCTCTGCTTTTGGAGGCACATGGCCTTCTCTCTGTGGTGAGTGCTCGCTCGTCTTCCCTTTGCACGGCTGTGTGGATATTCCAAGATAATCTCCCGTCATGAGGTCCTTCGCTTCATCTCCCTGCGGTTGCCACCACTTTGTGAGGTGACACCTTGGAGATCCAGGGCGCATGGTGTGGCCTCTTGAGCTGTGCTGTGGCCACTGTGGCAGCTTTTGGTTACTCCAGAGTACTGGCCCAGCCGGAGGGCTGCTGCAGAGCCTCCCTGCCTCCCTCTGCATCGCCACCTCTGTAGTCTTCCTCGACACAGGCAGAGCGGGGAGGATGCACACTGGGCACGCAGAGCACCGGGTAGGACGCTCATCCCCGAGCTGCAGAGCACAGCCTTGCCTGTGCTGGGCGCTGTGTCCGGGGCAAGTCAGGGATGCTGCTTTGGAGAGAAATGACCCGGGCTTGAGGCAGGACTCTGCAGCATCAAGCCTCTCCTGTCAGTTGGGGATGGCGGAGGCTTTTAGGAGCTGCTGTGGCCTGCATGCATTTCAGAGATGGGGGTGGCTTTTAGGAGCTGCTGTGGCCTGTGTGCATTTCAGAGACAGCGGTGGCTTTTAGGAGCTGCTGGGACCTGCCTGCATTTCAAAGATGGCAGTGGCTTTTAGGGGCTGCTGTGACCTGCATGCATTTCAGAGATGGAGGTGGCTTTTAGGGGCTGCTGTGACCTGCATGCATTTCAGAGATACTGGTGGCTTTTAGGGGCTGCTGTGGTCCTGCGTGCATTTCAGAGACGGCGGTGGCTTTTAGGAGCTGCTGTGACCTGCATGCATTTCAGAGATGGGGGTGGCTTTTAGGAGCTGCTGTGGCCTGTGTGCATTTCAGAGACAGCAGAGGCTTTTAGGAGCTGCTGGGACCTGCCTGCATTTCAAAGATGGCAGTGGCTTTTAGGAGCTGCTGGGACCTGCCTGCATTTCAAAGATGGCAGTGGCTTTTAGGGGCTGCTGTGACCTGCATGCATTTCAGAGATACTGGTGGCTTTTAGGTGCTGCTGTGGCCTGCATGCATTTCAGAGATGGGGGTGGCTTTTAGGAGTTGCTGTGGCCTGTGTGCATTTCAGAGACAGCGGTGGCTTTTAGGAGCTGCTGGGACCTGCCTGCATTTCAAAGATGGCAGTGGCTTTTAGGGGCTGCTGTGACCTGCATGCATTTCAGAGATGGAGGTGGCTTTTAGGGGCTGCTGTGACCTGCATGCATTTCAGAGATACTGGTGGCTTTTAGGGGCTGCTGTGGTCCTGCGTGCATTTCAGAGACGGCGGTGGCTTTTAGGAGCTGCTGTGACCTGCATGCATTTCAGGGAAGGCAGTGGCTTTAGGAGCTGCTGTGACCTGCCTGCATTTCAGAGATGGCAGTGGCTTTTGGGGGCTGCTGTGACCTGCATGCATTTCAGAGATAGGGGTGGCTTTTAGGGGCTGCTGTGGTTCTGCATTCATTTCAGAGATGGCGGTGGCTTTTAGGAGCTGCCGTGACCTGCATGCATTTCAGGGAAGGCGGTGGCTTTTAGGGGCTGCTGTGGCCTGCCTGCATTTCAGGGAAGGTGGTGGCTTTTAGGAGCTACTGTGACCTGCCTGAATTTCAGAGATGGCGGTGGCTTTTAGGGGCTGCTGTGACCTTCATGCATTTCAGGGATGGCGGTGGCTTTTAGGGGCTGCTGTGGCCTGTGTGCATTTCAGAGATGGTGGTGGCTTTTAGGGGCTGCTGTGACCTGCATGCATTTCAGAGACGGCAGTGGCTTTTAGGGGCTGCTGTGGCCTGTGTGCATTTCAGGGATGGCGGTGGCTTTTAGGGGCCGTTGTGGTCCTTCGTGCATTTCAGGGAAGGCAGTGGCTTTTAGGGGCTGCTATGGCCTGTGTGCCTTTCAGCTGACAGCATGTGAGAGCCACTCGCCAGGCTGCAGAGGGCACAGGGGGCTGACCTTGAGCCCGCAGGAAGGACAGGACAGGGCATGTCACAGGTGCAGTGAAGCGGAGACCTCAGGTAAGGCTGTGGATGCTTACTGACCTCCACCCTTAAAACATGCCTTTTATTCACAGGAAAATGCCTTTTATTCACAGGAAAAAAATGTCTAAAAAGTGAATGTGGGAAAACCCCTTAGGTTTGGATCGCGTCATGATCTTTCTCATCAGAGTGCTATTCTCTTCAGCGGAGGAGCCCACCCCTGAGTCCAGGTGCCCGGGGCTGGGCTCCGGTTCCATGCCTGGCTGTCCTGCAGGGCAGACGTCCTAGCTAGAGGAGGCACAGCCCTAAGCCCAGAGCACAGCAGCCAGCAGTGGCCGGCCGCACACTCCCGCTCTCACCAAGGACGCTTCCTGTCTGAAGTTTTTCTGGCCCCCTCGAAGGCTGTGTGGAGCTGTGGGGCCTTTGACTAGGAGCTCAGGACTCGAATCCTACTCAGGATGTGACTTCCTCTGCAAAGGGGCTGTTCTAAGTGGATGCTTCCTGCTCTGCTAGTTCTCACGTGCGGCCCCGCCCACCTCGCCTCTGCTGCTACAGCTGAGAGGCTGGTCCTCTCCACCGCCAGGCGCCCGGCCTCACACAGTGGCTGGAGGTGGAGAGCAGGCAGCTCATCTGGCCTTCAGCCTTTCATTGGAAAACACGGGCCCTGGCTGCATGAGCCTGAGGGGTGTGTAGGAGGGCCTGTCCTGGCTCCCCTGCGGGAATATGGCTGAGTGGCCCGACCTTCCTTGTGGCTGTCTCCTATGGCGAGTGCCCGGCATGGACACAGCTGTCTTGGGTGAGCGTCTGCTGAGTCGAAGTGATTTTGTTGCAGTGAGTTCCCCGGGCGTGCACTGTGGGTGGCTCAGCACCTGCTGTGCAGGGACCTTCGATGCCTTTACTGTGTCTCTGGGGGCCCCGGCGTCTGTGCCTGTGACTGGGACCCCTCAGCTTGCCCCACCTTGGCCCCTGCTCCTTGGCAACCTGGCCTAGAGCCTCTGTCGGGGCCTCCCGGACACTGACAGTGGCTGGTCTGCCATGCTCACTTGGACAGAGGCAGTGACGGCCTTTTGTCGTAGACGTGCCAGGATGTGTGCAGCCAGCAGGGGCAGAGGCAGAGGTCTCCCAGGAGCCCAGGACAGGTTGGTTCTGTCCTCCGGAGTAGAGTGTGTCACCCTCAGGGCGAGAGGCAGGTGGGTGCAAGTGCTGGTGCAGGCCGGCTGTCGCAGATCCAGATTTCCTCCTGCTGCCTGCTTCTCCAGCGCTGTGTGAATGGCAGCACCTGGCCTTCCCAGTGCCCACAAGCACACGGCTGGGGAGCTACTGCTCTGACATCTCTGTTCAGAGGCATCTGCCATGGGGGTCCCTGTCCTCAAGTCTGTGCTCAGAGAGCCCATCTGCCCTGGGCTCTCTGCTGGGGAGTATTTGCCCTGGGGTCTCTGCCCTGGGCTCTCTGCTGGGGGTCTCTGCCCGGGAGTGTCTGCCCTTGGCCCTCTGCCCTGGAGTGTCTGCCCTTGGCCCTCTGCCCTGGGTTCTCTGCTGGGGGTCCGCTGTCATCTTCCTGACACTGCAGACTGGCTGGTTAGTGGATACAGGGAAAAGTCTCAGACCTTCACTGTTATTGACACTTACTTGGGATTTTCTCTAAACTCTGCCCTGAAAACTTAATATTTAAACAAATTTGATGCTGTGGCTACAAAAGATTGCAACTCTTTCACAAACTTCGAGTTTCAGGGTTTTTCAGCTTTAGAAATTTATATTTGTAAAATCCAGCTGTCAGCATGATTGAATGTTGGAGTTTTGTCTAAGACTATCTTTAAGAATGTGTATGATACAAGCGTGGGGCGAGCAGAAACCTGCAATGGGTTTGTGGGTTTCAGGATCTCAGGCGCAGTATCTTCAGGTCATCTTGCTGCATGGGTGGGGGGTGTCAGCATCTGCAGGTGACGGATGGGGCTGGGGGACAGGAGGATGGTGGGTGTCAGTGTCTGCAGGTGACGGATGGGGCTGGGGGACAGGAGGATGGTGGGTGTCAGTGTCTGCAGGTGACGGATGGGGCTGGGGGACAGGAGGATGGTGGGTGTCAGTGTCTGCAGGTGACGGATGGGGCTGGGGGACAGGAGGATGGTGGGTGTCAGCGTATGCAGGTGATGGATGGGGCTGGGGGACAGGAGGAGGACGCTGAAAGATGAATGTGCAGCCACAGCCTCTGGAGCTCAGAGTCACCGCTGATGAGGCAGCAGAGGCTCCCATCAGTCACTTGTCTCTGACAGCGCTGCCCTGGCTGAGTCCTCAGGGTGGCAGCGTGCACTTGGGAGAGCAGGGCAGTGAATCAGGGCAGGCCTGGCTGGGAGTGCCCTGTGTGGGAACTGCCGTCTGGTGGGGTATGTGCTGTGGCAGCTCAGGTTAGAGC